CTGATGCACGTAAAGCGTCGTAAGTAGTGCAGCAGAGTGCTGGCATTCGAAAAGCTCTTGCGTCAGGAAACGCAGGACGCTGGAATATCATCGATTCCCTGGGGGAATAACAAGCTACACTGACGGCGCCGTAGAGGAGTGTTCTAGGCCACGAGAGTTGCCCGCCGCACCCTATAAACTCGAATTGCAGCGGAGCTGTTTGGGACTCCAGAGGGCTTCGCCTCAAAGACATAAGAGGCTGGACGAACATCGAAACCGGGGGACAATCATCCTCATTATCCTCCTGCTTTTCCTCGTCATCATCATCGACACCACCATCGCGCGCACTCACAGTCACACATTCACTCACACGCCCATCATCATCATCATAATCGTCATCATCATCAACATAATCATCATCAACATCATCGTTACAACCATCGTCCTTCCACCATTAACACCCACTCGGCACAATCACAACCGTCACCGTCACCATCACTGTCCCATGATAACCTTCGACAATCATTATCATCAGCCTCGAACGCTTTCCCACACACCCACGCAGTCATCGTAGCGGGAGCCTCGTATGTGAATGACTTCGCCCATGCTCGCAATGAGTTGTCAATTCCACGGTTTGCACAATCATCCCTCCCATCCACCCGCAACTTGGTTTGCAAAACCCATGCGACAAGGATTGCGACAACTGCTTGGCGTTGGCCTATTCATATCCGCGGTCGCGCTAGCCCGCGCATGCTTGCGCACACGGCGGCCAGCCAGTGCGACGGGACCGACGCGGCCGCGGTGGCGCTGACCGCTGGGCAACTCCCAACGGGCACTTCGGTGCGAGTCGTTGACTTGGGCGGGCGCGGTATCATGGCGACGCCGACAACGGTAGACACGATGATGAATGCAGCGATGATGGTGACGGTGGATAACGATGACGATGTCCTCGCGTCGGCGACGAAGGTTTTGGAGGGTAATCGACATGCACGCGCGGCCGACGCGCACGAATGGCCCGCGTGGTATTTTTTGACACGGATCGTGCCCCCCAACCCGCGCGCAAAAGCGTTCGGATGAGTTCGACATGCAGCGCGAGAGGCCCGTTTGGTAGAATGTGATGAACATATTGAACACAACCTGTGGTTTTCTTACGAATTCGCAAGTGCGCGCGCGCCGGCGCTTCCGAAATCTCTCGCCAACGAACAATATGGTGTTCATGTTGTCGGGACACTAAATCAGCCGACCCTGTCGGCGTGTGGAAGAGGCTTCTCCGTCTGTTCCCTCCTCGGCGAAATTGAGCAGCGTCGTAATTGAGTCGAAGGGAAGCCCCTTCCCTTTGATTCCTTCCCCGCCGGGGGGGGGGGCTCCGGGGGGGCCCCGGGGGGGGGCCCGGGTTTTTACGCCGCCCCCCCGGGTAATCCCGGGGCCCAAAAAAGTCCCAAGACTGGCGAAAAGCGCCCAGAGAGGCCACCAAGACGATCCAAGAGGGCGCCAAATCGCCGAATGATCTGTCCAAGACGCCTCGACGGCCTCCAGACGGCCCAAGACGCCTGCGAGACGCCCCAAGAGGCCTCCAGGACCGTTCCCACGAGAGCCCCAAGAGGTGCAAATCATGGATTTTCCATACGTGTTTCAAAGATGTTTGGCGTTTTCGCCTCTTCCGCTTCCCCACGCGCCAAGACGGCCCAAGAGGCTCCTAAGATCGCCCCGACACGGCCCAAGAGGCCTCCGAGAGGGTCTCCAAACGGCCCAAAAGTGCCCCAAGACTGCCCAAGACGCCTCCCACATTCACAAAAGGCCCCCAAAACGGTTGCAAGAGAGCGCCCAGACGGGGGACCCGAACGGACATTTCGAGCCCTCAGCCCCGAGAAGCTCCCAAGAGGCCCTCCAGGAAGCCCACAGAGGCTCCAAGAGGCTCCCGACAGGCCCCAAAAACTCTCCTAGGAAACTACAAACCAAAGTAGGAAGTTACAAAACAACCGGGTATTCCCTCATCTTCGACCTTGTCCTCCTCCTCCGCCTGTTCCTCCTCCTCCCCATCACAGAACGGAGGAGGGACACTTTCCCGAGCGCGGCAAGCGCGCTTTCAACGCCTCCGACGTCCGACAGCGCCTCGCAGCCACCGTCCGATCCGCGAGGGCTGGCGCGCCCAGACGACAGGGTCGTCTCCAGGGTCGGCGGCATCGGCCGTAAAGCCTTCGCAATATTAAAATCCCTGCGAAGCCTAAGGAATTTGCAAGATTTCGGCATGCGCGCGCGACAACGCGCGTGTGTGCATATCGTCATATGCGCTGCAAAAGATTATCGCGGCAACACGCGCGCAACCGCGTTCAAACGACTTCGACATGCGCGCGCGATGCCCGTTTGGTAACGTGCTATGGAAATGTTGAAATACCAATGGTTTTCTTAAGAATTCGCAGGAGCCTGAGCGCAGGCTTGTTTTGAAAATCCTTGTTGCGAAACCGTCTGTTTCTATCTACTCGTAGAACTCGAACTTGAATCCCCAACGAAACAAAAAAGTTCAAGGATTCCGGCATGCGCGCGTGCACTTGGTCCCGTCGTGTTGGCGGGATTCTTGAAAACTGATGAGCTTTGAAAAACGAGTGCGCGCGCGCATAGTATTTCTCCCGCGTCCTTAGTGGGATTATTGTTTTCTCTAGACACCCCGCGCAGTCCTGCCACCCACACCCCCCTCTCTCCACATCACTCACTCACTCACTTATGAACTCACTGACTCACTGACGCACACCTCATCAGCGCCATCGCCATCACCATGATCTTCGTCATCCTCGTCATCATCAACACCGCGATATCATCATCGCACTATCATCATCGCTCCTTCACTCACTCATCCGTTGACTCGCCAATCCTCACTCTTTCAATCACTCACTCGCAACCACACCCGGATAATCATCAACAGCATCACCACCATCATCACCACCTATCTCAACTATCACCATCATCATCATCATCATCAGCATCATCATCATGATCATCATCATCAGCAGCATTGTTATCGTTATCATCATCATGATCACCACCACCACCACCACCATCATCAGCATCATCATCATCATCATCAGCATCATCATCATCAACATCACCGCCACCGCCACCACCGCCACCATCATCACCACCAGCATCATCCTCCTCCTCCTGCTCCTTCTCCTCCACCTCCTCCTCCTCGTCATCATCATCATCATCAGCATCATCATCTTCACCAACATCATCATCACCATCGTCATCATCAGAAGCATCATCATCATCATCATCATCATCATCATCATCATCATCATCATCATCATCATCATCATCATCATCATCATCATCATCATCATCATTATCATCGTCATCATCGTCATCACTGTTTGACTGCCCTGGTTTAAAACATGGAGGAAATCTCGAGCGGGAGCCTCGTGTGTGAGGGAACTGCGAAGAAATCTCAAGCGGGAACCCCTTCCCTGTGGGTCCCGCATTTGGATGTGGCAATCCGGGCGGGTCATCCGAAAACGTGTAACTGTCCTCTTGCCTGAACATGGGGGAATTCTCGAGCTGGAGCTTCGTATCTGAATGAATTGTGAAAAATCTCAAGCGGGAGCACCTTCCCCAGATGTTGGCAATCCAAGCAGGTCATTTCGGGGTCCTCATGCCTGAGCATAGAGGAAGTCTCGAGCGGGAGCCTCGTATGCGAGGGAATTGCGAGGACGCTTCATGCGGCAACCCCTTCTCCATGGGGGCCGCACTTCATGTAGGTAAACGGAGCGGGTTATCCGAAAACCTGTAATTGTCGTCACCTCTGGGGCTCCTCAGGCGTGAATTTGGTGGAAATATGAGGCAGGAACTTCGTTTGTAATTGAATCGCGAGGAAGTCTCAGGCGGGAGCCCCCTCGCCACGAGGTGCACACATCATGTTGGTAATCTGGGCGGGTCACCCGCAAACCTGTAACTGTCGTCACCTTTGAACCTCCGCAGGCCTGAACATGGAGGACGTATCAAACGGGAGCGTCGTCGGTGAGCGAATTGCGGGGGAGTCTTAAACGGGAGCCCCCTCCGTATGGGGTCCGCGCCTTACGTTTACGTTGGCGATGCAAACGGGCCATCCACAAACCTAATTCCTCATGCCTGAACATGGAAAAAGTATCCAAACGGGAACCTCGTCGATGAGGGAATTGCGACGAAGTCTCGGACGGGAGCCCCCCCTCCCTATGGGACCCAAACCTCATGTTGACAATCCGAAAGGGCCACCCGCAAGCCTCAAGCTGTCGTTACTTTGGGGGGGTTCAGGCGGGACCCTCTTCCTATGGGGCCCGCAGATCATGTTACTAATCCGAGCGGGTCGTCCGAAAACCTGTAACTGTCCTCACTTTGGGGTTCCTCAGGCCTGAACATGGAGAAGTATGAGGCTGGAGCCTTGTCTGTGAGTGCGTCGCGAAGAAGTCTCAGACGGGAGCCCTCTCTCTATGTGGCCCGCACATTAGATTAATAATCCGAGCGCGTCGTCCTAAAACCCGTAACTGTCCTTAGCTTTGGCCTCTTGAGGCCTGAATGAAAAGAAATATGAAGCGGGAGCCTTGCTGCGAGCGAGTTGCGAGGAAGCCTCAGGCGGGGGCCCTTTCCCTCCCACGCCACGCGCATGCAGAACATGCTGATCCTGCAGCCGCCCGCGCGGGAGCTCCTCGAGCGCGGGCCGCCGGCGTCTGTGCGAAAAGCGCTCGAGGAGTTCGACAAGAAAGTGGTGGTCTCTATGGCTGAGACGGAACAGCTCGCGGCAATGAGAAAAGCACCTGGATCGTAATCCAAGTGTCCTGGGATCCTGAATTCAAGGATTTTTCTCCTCCTCCTCCTCCTCCTCCTCCTCCTCCTCCTCCTCCGTCTCCCTTCTCCCTCCTCCATGAGTAAAGAGCCATGGCATGCATGCCACTCGTACACCCACTGCACAACACGTAGGGGATCTTCTTCGCCCGTCGTCGTCGTCGTCGTCGTCGTCGTCGTCGTCGTCGGATCTCCCCGCCCCGGCCGGCCTCGTTGAGCGCCGCCAGCTCCTCCTCCCGGCGGGCGACCCGCTCCTGCACGGCGCCCCCGCGGCGGGGCAGGGCTTGGGCGGCCGGGGGCAGGGCCGCGGGTGGGCGCTCGCTCTCCGCCTCCTCGGGCGCGGCCCCACCGGCCCCTAAACAAACCATCCCCTTCCGTGACGTCATCCTCGCCTGTCGAGCTTCCCTCTTGGGCGAGGCGGGGGGAGGACGTCACGGAAAGGGATGGTTCGCGGGAAGTCGGTCAGGCCGCCCCTGATCTCCCTGCACCAGGGCGGACGATGCGAGGCGGGGTGCTGCAATCGTTGCACGCCAGGCGTGTCCGCCTGGCGTTCGGGCCCAGGAACTGATGCATATCCACGGCCTGGGGATGCGGCGGTCTCCCAGGACCCCAGGGGGCGGTGGAGATGCACAAAGTCTAGAATAAGGCCCGAGCCAACACCAAAGATCGGCTCCGACCGGGCCGAAGCCAGCCCCGGGCCAGGCGGAAGGGGAGGGACTCGAAGCTCAGGAGATCGCCGCGTCCTGGGGGGCAGCGCAGGATCGACGCGGACCCTGGGCTGGCGGGGGAGGGGCTCGAGGCTCGGGGGATCGCTGCCTCCCGAGGGGCTGCAGGGGGTCGCAGCGGACGCTGGGAGGCAGGGGGAGGATCTCGAGGCTCGGGGAAACGCCGCGTCCCGAGGCGCTGCAGAGGATCGAGACGGAGCCTGGGCCGGGGGAGGAGAGGGGCTCGAGGCTCAGGGGGATCGCTGCGGCGCGAAGGGCTGCAAGAGGACCACGATGGAGCCCCGGGGCCGAGAGGAGGAGGGCTCGAGGCTCGGAGGATCGCCGCGCCCCAGGGGGAGCGGCAGATTCAAAAAGAGAAGCAGGGGCGCCCCTGTCCGGGAGTCCGCGTCGAGTCCGTGCCGAATCCAGGTCTAGACGAGCGCGTTCCACTACTCGCAGACTAGCTACTCGCTTCTTCCTCTTCCTCCTCCGCGTCCCTCTCCTGCTTCTCAGCCAAGCAAGGGCATGGCGGGTTCGCGCTGTGACGGCCACGCTCCAGCTCAGATTTTGAACGACCGCGGCTGTCCGACAGCGCGGATCGCTCGACGGCGGCCGACTCTGGGCCACTGGGGGACGTTAAACCTTGAATTCAACGCCTACGGCGGAGTCGCCGCCGCGTCAGCACGACGCGAACCTGCCGCAATCGCAGTAGCCGCGTGACTCCTGCAGGCCACCTGTGGAGGGAGAAAGACCAGCACAGGATAAGCAGTCGGAGGTCCGCGCAGAGTTCTTGGATCGGCGCGGGACACTCCTCCCTGGCGCGCGGAGCACGCCAGGAGCGGTGCTGGAGGCGCCGCCTGGGGGTCCAGCGCTGATCCAAGATATCCGCGCGGGCCTCCGAGAATGTATGCGTATGCAGCTGTCTGTTCTTCGACTAGGACGAGGAGGATGTCAAGATACGAATGGTTCAGGATGCGTTCCAGGAGTTCCAGGGAGTAGCTGGCGGCCTTCGTTTCTGCAGCCTCTGCGGAGCAGCAGGAGATGTTGGAAATTCTGGGAACCTTGGAAATCCTGGAACGTATGATTGTTTGGAGGCGGCCAGGGGGTCTGAGCTGGATGGGCCCCAAAAGAACATGTCACGAGAGGCGGGCGAGGACAGATCCCCTCGAAATCGGTCCCCGGGACCCCTCCGGGGATGGAAATTGGCCAGCCTTTCGAGCCGCGTCCCGCCATGGCAACGAGGGGGAACCTTTTCTGCTCTTGTTCTGACGGGCAGACCCCAAATCATTATCATGCCTCTCTGCTCCTGTGATCGCCTGCAGGCCCCCCCCATCCCCTCCTCCCAGCTGACGTGGACCTGCAGGCACTGCGGCTTCAGCTCGGCGTAGTACTTGTCGGCAGCGTCGAGATCGGCCTGCTCGGCGGCCAGATCCTCAGGCCAAGAAGAACATCCTCCTTTACCTCCTCCCCATCCTGCTCATTTGATGTCTGGGGGACAAGGAGGGAGGAGGGGGAATACAAAAATGACAAGCAGCACACAAAAATTAACTGTCGGGGTTCCACGCGGATATCTTGGATCTGCGCTGGCCCCCCCTGGCAGCGCCCTCGGCGCTGCCCGGACTGGGGGGGCCAGCGCCGATCCAAGAAATCCTTGCGAAACTCCGAAAGTCTACGCTCATGAAGTTTTAGACCCTTCAAGGAAGGGAAATATCATCCCCGTCTCCTCTTCATGCTCGTCCTTCGCGTCCTCCTGCGTTTCCTCCTCGACCCTCCCTCCATCCCCCCCTCTCCTCACACGTACTCATCGTGCCTCCTTCCCCGCCTTCCCCTCCTCAACTTGAAGAGAAGGAGGAAGAGGGCCTTCTCCTCCTCCTCCTCCTCCTCCTCCTCCTCCTCCTCCTCCTCCTCCTCCTCCTCCTCCTCCTCCTCCTCTCCTCCTCCTGCTCCTCCTGCTCCTCCTCCTGCTCCTGCTCCTCATCTTCCTACTCCTCCTCCTCCTCTTCCTCGTCCTCCTCGTGGCGCTGGGCCAAGGGCGGTGGAACCCAGAAGCCAGAAGCGTTACTCTCTGGAGGCACTGCGGTGCCATCCCATCCCGCCCTGATGCACTCCCCCTTCTGCTCTTCCTCTTCCTACTCCCCTGTCCTCTTCCTTATCCTCCAGGACAATAACCACCAACACCGCAACCATCGCCAACATCAGCATGCTCGTGATCAGCATCATCATCATCGTCATCAAAATCAGCATGATCGTCATGATCACCATCATCAGCATCAGCATCCTCATCATCATCATCATCATCAGCAGCATCAGCATCATCGTCATCATCACCATCACCATCACTGTCACCATGGGCATCGGCATCGGCATCAGCACCATCATCACCACCATCATCATAAGCATCAGCATCATCATCACCATCAACATGAGCATCATCATCATCATCAGCACCAGCATCGGCATCAGCATCAGCATCAGCATCGTCATCAGCATCGTCATCGTCATCATCATCAGTTTCAGTATTGTCATCAACACCATCATCAGCATCGTCATCATCATCATCATCATCACATGAGCACTGTCAGCAGCAGCATCATCATCATCATCAGCGACATCATCATCATAAACATCATCAGCAACAGCATGATCACCATAATAGCATCCGCATCAACATCATCATCATCATCATCATCATCAGCATCATCATCAGCATCAGCATCATCATCATCATCAGCATCATCATCATCATCATCAGCATCATCATCATCATCATCATCATCATCATCATCATCATCATCATCATCATCATCAGCGGCAGCATCATCATAGTCAGCATCATCATCACCATCAGCATCACAATCAACATCAGCAGCATCATCATCAGAATCGTCATCTGATGTTGTTGCAGCAGCATCATCATCATCATCAACACCATCAGAATCGTCAGCATCAGCATCACCATCAATGCCAGCATCATCGCCATCACCATCGTCATCATCACCATCATGTTCGTCATCAGCATCAGCATCATCAGCAGCAGCAACATCACCATCAGCAACATCAGCATCAGCACCAGCAGCAGCATCAGCATCATCAGCATCATGAGACTCATCATCATCAGCATCATCAGCATCCGTAGCCATCAGTAAGATCATCGACACCATCAGTAAGATCATCCCTGCCATTGTCATCTTCAGCACTAGCATAATCATCACACTCATCAGCATTATCTGAATCAGCGTCATCATCAGCATCGCCATCGTCAGCATTATCATATCATCGACATCACCACCATCATCATCAGCAGCAGCATCAGCATCAGCATCAGCATCATCATCATCATCATCAGCATCAGCATCAGCATCAGCATCGTCATCATCATCATCATCATCAGCATCATCATCATCATCATCATCATCATCATCATCATCATCATCATCATCATCATCATCGGCAGCATCATCTACATCAACATCATCGTCGACACCATCACTCATCATCATCATCATCATCATCATCATCATCATCAGCAGCATCATTATCAGCATAATCAAAATACTCACTATGATTAGTATCAGAATCATCACCCCTACAATCGACAACGTCGTCGTCATCGCCCTCATCGTCGTCCTACTCAGTCCATCTCCCAGGAAATCCTTCTGCAACTCGCTCTTGTCAAACTCAGACTGGTCCTTGTCGAGCTTCGTCTGGACCTCTTCCTCGTGCTTCCTGGGGGGCGAGCTTCGCGCGGAGGGGAAAAGGAGAGGGAAGCGAGGAGGAAGGGAAGCAGGAGGCGAGGAGGCGAGGAGGCGAGGAAGAGGCGAGGAGGCAAGGAGGAGAAGGAGGCGAGGGAAAAGGAGGAGGCGAAGGGGAAAAGTAGACTGCTGCCCACCATTCGCGGAGGCTTCGTGGCACAGAGGCATGCACGCACGACAGCGCCAGCGCAGAGCACCGCCGTGCACGCACGCGCCGTGGGCGAGACTGGGATGTGCACGCGGGCCCCCGTCAGAGGTTGGAGGCCTGGAAATGGGCACCAACACCAATTTAGGGGGCTGCCTCCACAGGGGGGAAGATGATCATTAGCTTTCGGTGTTGGCGGTAAAATTTCGGCCGCTCTGGAAGCCAGGATAGTACCACCATCACAGAGATCGGGAGCTTCTTCCCTCGGTGGAGGCACACCGCCGAAATCGGTGCTGGTGTCAGCCTCTGGGCCTGCGACTAGGGGCACAGGGGTCCCGAACGGTGTCACGGGCCGCGCCATGGGCGTGAGGGGGCGCAGCCGCCCCGGGGTGACGTCACCAGGTTGAAGGGGGCCCAGGACACACAAATAAATACACACAAATAAAACAATCCCTATATTTCCTCATATGTTGGGGGGTTTTCGTCTTCCCCCCCAGCTCCCATAGTTTCCCATATTTTCTGGGGAATCAGCGATTACCTGTGTCTGTGTTTTTTCCCCTCCTGAAATGTTCCGTAACATCAGCACCCGCGGCGAGCGAGGACTCCAAGGCGCAGTCAGGGGAGGAGGAGAGCAGCACACACACACACACACACATCGAGCGCTCCAAAGCTTGTGCTGTACCAGTGGAGGCGAGACCATCACCCTCCCAGGCTTAGGGATTCTCGACCCACCCCGAGGCCAGCCATGCAAGGGCGGCCTCCTGCCCAGGCCCCCGTGGAGTCTCCAAGACAGCTCAAATCAGACTCCCCTCTTATTGTTCGGCGGCGAGGGGGGGGGGAAATGAGAAGGAGGAGGCCTTCTCGGAATGCGGCGGGACTTCTCGGAAGCCCTCGCGCCTTCTGAGAAGTTTGTTGTCTGTCTTCAGGGAAGGCTCAGAAAACTTCTCGGAAGGCCGGGGGACTTCTGAGCCTTCTGAGAAGGCCCGCCCCTTCTCACTTCCTGCCCTCGCTTGCCGCCGACATTACCCAGCGGCATAGAAATTGACAAAACGTCGCCGGACGAGGCGACTTCAGACACACGGGGGGTGCGGGTCACCTCATCGGACTGGAGATTGTCGGAGTGGACCTAGATTAATGTTCAGGCGCGGTTCCTCCACTGCCTTTTGCTGGTGAAAAAAGACCGTTCAGGTCGACCTGGAAATATTCCGACACAATGTGGGCTCTCATCGGACACCGCCACCAGACGATGTAAATCTAGAAGAAGCTTAATCGTCACCTCCACAGAGGTGACTGAATAAGTAGAAACGAAACTTTCGTTGGGCCAGAGAAGGTGGATGAGGGCGAAGAGGACGAAGAGCAGGAGAAGGAACATCGACAATTTCACGACAGCCAAAAAAATCTCAGGATTCTGGCTGAAGAGGGGGCAGTTGTAATCAGGTAAAGGGTGGGGAGGAGGGAGAGACCAAGGGGCAAAAGGGACAACGGGAGAGCAGGAGGCCAGAGAGGGAGGAGGCGGGATGAGGAAGAGACGGAGCAGAGCTGGGCAGGATGAGGTAGGCAGGATGAGGCGGGCCAGGGCGTAGGCGACGCGGGGAGGCGGACGAACCGAGAGGCGACAGCGGCCGTAGCGCCTCTTCTTGGACGTCTCGGACTCGGTCATGAACTCGTCGTACTCCTGCCCTCTCAGATGGCCCTGCTTACGAGACCTATGCTGGCCCCTGCTGAATTTTTTAGAATAATATATTGGGATGAAACGCTGCCGCTGGATATATCGAGCGCAGTTGATCACAACACAAACGCTGTCCAGCAGCTGCTGGACAGCGTTTGGTACCCCAGCCAGAGAGGAGGAGAACCACGGAGCGAGGCCTCCTGGACGCTGGCGAAGCGGCATTTCCGTTGACCTCAGCGCCGTCGCACTGCATTCGTGCGGCCACCTCTTGCTGCTAGCAGGGGCCGCCATCTGATCTGCGTCCAAAGTGGGGGTCGCAAATCATGGCCGAAGCATGTGCGCGGGAGAGGGGGGGGCCGGGGGCCGCGTTGGAAGAAAAACTGGGGCCATCAAATCTGGGAAGATTGGGGGTGATGGGGCCTCCCTTCATCAATTCCCCCCTCTTGGCCGCCCCCGCAAGAAAAAATGCACAGGACAACCCAAAAGCGGATCGGAAAATCGAACCGGCCAACCAAGCATTCCAAATCTGCAAACATCGACGCTGATCAGAGAAAATCTTAAATCGACGTCCGCCAGCCCGAGCCGAGGCGTATACGAATTATCCCGCCCGGGTGGTGAATACCGTAGTGTGGCACCGTTTTCGGTGGAATTCCTTTATGGGGCCACGAACTGGGTGAGGAGTGTGCCAAAATGGGGCGGCGCCGCCATGCGAATCCTGCCACTGGGCCTTCGGTGGAACTCCCTATGGGGCCACGAACCGCGCGAGGGGTGCGCCAAAGTGGGGCGGCTCGGCGGCTCCGTCATGCGAACCCTGCTACTGGGGCGTTCGGTGGAGCTCCCCACGGGGCCACGAGCCGCGCGAGGAGTGCACCGAAACAGAAACATGCGCACGGCAGAGGCACGGATCGGAGGAGGGAGGAGGGGGAGCAGGAGCGAGGAGTACCTCGCATGCCCAAGAAGCGTCCTTTCAGCAAGCAAACTGGCGAAGTGTCCGGAACAGGGTGTCCCTGGACGTTTCCAAACCAAAAAACCGAGAAGCTCGCATTGAGAAATAAGCGCTGGGGCTCTTAAATGTTTCTTGTATAGGGACCCGCTGGAGAATTCAAACAAAGGGGGGGACCAGAGAAGCCAAGTTTAAATGTCTGGCAGAAGCGCATAAACGCAAGAGGCCCATTGCTGTTCAGGCCACCCCCTGCGTCGTCGGCGCGCCCATATTCTGGGCAGGTCGACGCCAGGCTGGAGCCGTTTGGCGCCGTTGGGAGCCTCCGAAACGCGGGGCACAAGTGGCGTTCCCACGCCCGCCCGCAAGACACTCGCGAAATTCCCTGAATAAGTCTTCAACATTGCGCTTGAAAGCTGCCCAACCAATCTGTGTCTGCCTGTAGCAGCCACTGCGTTTCCTAGTTGCGCGGCAACTTCGGAACACTATGCATTTGCACAGTAACCCGCACTGAATGGTTAGCTTCCTTACAACCGTGTTCGGGGTTCGCCTTCAGCCGCCTCGAATCAAATAATATCATCATCATCATCATCATCATCATCATCATCATCATCATCATCATCACCATCACCATCATCAGCATCAGCATCAGCATCAGCATCAGCAGCAGCAGCAGCATCCTCATCATCTTCATCACCATCATCATCATCATCATCAGCATCAGCATCAGCATCAGCATCATGGTCGTTATCAGCATCAACATCATCATCAGCATCATGAGCATCATCATCAGCATCATCATAATCATAATCATCATCAGCCTTGTCATCAGCATCATCATCATCATCGTCATCATCAGCAGCAGCACCATCATCATCAACAACCTCATCATCGCCATCATCATCATAATCATCAGCATCAGCATCAGCAGTACCATCATGATCGTCGTCCTCGTCAGCATCATCATCATCATCATCATCATCATCATCATCATCAGCATCATCATCATCATCATCATCATCATCATCATCATCATCACCAGCATCATCATCATCATCATCCTCATCGTCAGAAGCATCATCATCATCAGCATCATCACCACCGCCACCACCATCATTATCATCACTCTCATCCTCATCTTCATGCTCATCCTCATCCTCATCATCATTGTCCTCATCCTCATCCCCATCATCATCATCATCATCATCATCATCATCATCATCATCATCATCCTAAACAGCATCCTAATCAGCATCAGCTTCTTCATCACCATCCCGATTATAATCCTTAGTCGCATCCTCATCCTCATTGTCATCCTCATCGTCATCCTCGTCATCATCATCGTCCTCATCCTCGTCCTCATCCTAACCAGCAGCATCGTCATCATCATCATCATCATCATCATCATCATCATCATCATCATCATCATCATCATCATCGTTAGCAGCATCATCACTGCCTCTATCGTCAGCATCATCCTCACCCTCCTCCTGATCCTCATCCACACCCTACGCCACATGATCCTCGTCATCACCATCATCAGCATCATCATCACCACCACCATCAGCAGGATCGATATCCTCATCCTCATATTCCTCCGCCTTCTCATCATCCTCATCCTCATCATCGTCATCATCACCACAATCATCGTCGTCGTCATCGTCATTGTCATCGTCATCGTCGTCATCATGATCATGAGCAGCATTGTCGTCGTCCTCATCCTCATCCTCATCCTCATCAAAATTTCAACAGCATCATCCTCAAAGCATCAGCAGCTTCATCATCCCCATCCCCATACGCATCCTCATCATCTGCATCATCACCATCATCAGAATCAAGATCACCAACGCCGTCATTATGATCGTCATCATCACAACCACCATCGTCCTTATACGCATCCTCCTCGCCATCGTCATCACCCTCATCATCATCACAACCACCACCATCATCATTATCATCTGCAGCACCAACATCAGCATCAGTCATGTTCATCCTCATCACCATCACCATCATCAGCCTCGGCATCCTCATCATCATCATCATCCTCATCATCATCATCATCATCATTACCGTCGTCGACATCATCATCACCTCCATCTCCATCACCATCGCTATCATCATCACCACCACCATCATCACCATCATCACCATCATCATCATCATCATCATCACCATCACCATCATAATCATTATCATATTCGTCATCAGCATCATCATCATCAACATCACCAGTATCAACCTCACCTTCTCACTCATCATGTTAAGTATCGTTATCACCATCGTGATCATCACCACCATCAACATGAGCATCGTCATCAGTATCATCACCAGCATGATCAGTGTCGTCGTCATCAGAACCACAACCACCATCATCAACACCCGTATCATCATTTCCCTCCTCGTCATCATCAGCATCGTCATCATCATCATCATACTCATCATCAGTATCATCATCAGCATCAGCATCAGCATCAGCATCATCATCATCATCATCGCCATCGCCATCATCATCATGATATTCATCAGCATCGTCTTCTTCATCACCATAAACACCAACACCATCATCATCATCATCATGAACATCAGCATCATCATCATAATGATCATTAACATCATCATCGTCGTCATCATCTTCATCATCCGCATCCTCAGCCCTCATCCGCATCCGAATCCTCATCCTCATCAAAATTTCAACAGCATCATCCTCAAAAGCATCAGCAGCTTCATCATTCCTATCCCCATGCACATCCTCATCATCTGCATCGTCACCATCATCAGAATCAAGATCGCCAACGCCGTCATTATGATCGTCATCATCACCACTACCATCATATTTATCCGCATCCTCCTAGCCATTGTCATCACCGTCATCGCCATCACCACCATCATCATTACCAACTGCAGCACCAACATCAGCATCAGTCATGTGCATCCGCATCACCATCACCATCATCAGTCTCGTCCTCATCATCCTCATCATCATCATTACCGTCGTCGGCATCATCATCACATCCACCTCCATCACCATCGCTATCATCATCACCACCATCAACATCACCAGCATCACAATCATCACCACCATCATCACCATCATCGTCACCATCAGCATCATCACAATCATCATCACCAGCACCACCACCATCATCACCATCATAATCGTCACCATCAGCATCAGCAGCATCATCCTCGTCGTCGTCATCATCATCACAAATATCAGCCTCACACTCTCACTCATCATGCTAAATATCGTTATCACCATCGTGATCATCACCATCATCAACAAACTAGTCGTAATCAGTATCATCACCAGCATGATCATCGTCGTCGTCATCATAACCACGACCACCATCATCAACATCCGTATCATCATGTCCCTCCTCGTTATCATTAGCATCGTCATAATCATCAGAATAATCCATCATTATCAGCATCAGCATCAGCATCATCATCATCATCATCATCGTCATCGCCATCATCAGCATAATAATCATCAGCATCATTTTCTTCATCACCATGAACATTAACACCATCGTCATCATGAACATCATCATCATGATCATTAGCATCATGATCGTCGTCATCATCTTCATCATCCGCATCCGCGTCCTCATCCGCACCAAATCCTCATCCTCATCAAAATTTCAACAGCATCATCCTCAAAAGCATCAACAGCTTCATCATTCCCATCCCCATACACATCCTCATCATCATCTTCATCATCACCATCATCAGAATCAGGATCACCAACGCCGTCATTATGATCGTCATCATCCCCACCACCATCATCCTTATACGCATCCTCCTCGCCATCGTCATCACCGTCATCATCATCATCATCACCACCACCACCACCATCATCATTATCATCTGCAGCACCAACATCAGCATCAGTCATGTTCATCCTCATCACCATCACCATCATCAGCCTCGTCATCCTCATCATCCTCATCATCATAATAGTCATCATCATCACCGTCGTCGGCATCATCACCACCTCTATCTCCATCACCATCGTTATCATCATCGCCACCATCAACATCACCATCATCACCTTTATCACCATCATCATCATCACAATCATCATCACCAGCACCATCGCCATCATCACCATCATCATCGTCATCATCATCATCAGTATCATCCTCCTCGTCATCATTATCATCACCACCATCACCATTATCAGCCTCACCCTCTCACTCATCATACTAAGAATCCTTATCACCATCGTGATCATCACCATCATCAACATAATCATTGTCATAATTATAATCACCACCATGATCATCATCATCGTCGTCATCATAATCACGACGATCATCATCAACATCCCTATCATCATTTCCCTCGTCATCATCAGCATCGTCATCCTCGGAATCATCATCAGTATCACCATCAGCATCATCAGCATCATCATCATCGTCATCGCCATCATCATAATCATCATCAGCATAATCTTCTTCATCACCATCAACATTAACACCATCATCATCATGAACATCATCATCATCATCATCATCATGATCCTTAGCATCATCATCGTCGTCATCATCTTCATCATCCGCATCCGCATCCTCATCCGCATCCTAATCCAAATCATCATCCTGATGCTTATCCTCATCATCACTGCCCCTCGCTGGCCTCCCCTGCCAGCCTGTGCCGCCTGCGTCTCCGCCGCCTTGGTGTCCGCCTCGAGGCGCATGAAGTCCGTCTGGATGACCTCCAGCCTTAGGAAGCACCCGCAGTGGGAAGCAACTCCTGGAAGATCTTAAGGAAGAAGAAACACCAGAAACAAACATTTTGGAGCTCCGCGCGGATTTCTTGGATCGGCGCTGGGCTCTCCTCCATTGTGCGCGGAGCGTGCCAGGAGTGGCACTGGAGCCGCCGCCAAGGGAGAGGGGCACCAGGGCGGGGCCCGAGGCGCACCTGGCGACGCCTCCGGCGCCACCAATGGCGCGCTCCGCGCGCAACGGAGGGGAGCCCGACGCCGATCCAAGAAATCCGCGCGGGCCCTCGAAGGTTTATGGTTATGGCGTTCTTGTTCCTTCTGCTGCGACTTAAGGCAAATAAGGCCTGGCGAACTAAGCGGGACGGCGCCAACTTAGGCGGGATCATGCCTGACTAAAATGCCCTTCGACCACGGATCCGAGGCCTCTGTATATGTTTTACTGCACTCCGGGCTATCCCGCGGGGGAGGTGACGGCCGACAGCCCAACCTTTTCGCTTTGGGCTGCCCCGCGTGTGCTCGCGCGCACCAGCTCTGCGCACCTCCTTCGGACCCGAACCGACAAGGTCATGGTATCAGGGGGGGAGGGGGGGGGCGAACGGCCCCGACAACCTGGAGTCCCCCGGGCTGAAACATCGGCCGCGAGCCAGGGGGGGAAAGTGAAAAAGGGCGGGCCTTCTCAGAAGGCTCGGACGTCCCCTAGCCTTCCCCGAAGACGCAGGCAACCTCTCAGAAGGCGCGAGGGCTTCTGAGAGCATCCCGCCGCCTTCTGAGAAGGCCTTCTCCTCCTCGCTTTCCCCCCGCTCGCCGCCGAAACCAAACAAAATGCTCAACCTCCCACAGGGCGCATCCTGGCCCGCAGGGGGGCGCCGGCAGGCGTTCGCAGGAGAGCCGCCGCCCAGGGGGGCAGGCTCCTGCTCGGGAGGGCAGCTCGAGCTCTGTTCAACAGGGAGGGAACGAGGAGGAGGAGGAGGAGGAGGAGGAGGAGGAGGAGGAATAGGAGGGAGGAGGGAGGAGGCAGGGGAGGAGGAGGAGGAGGAGGAGGAGGAATAGGAGGGAGGAATAGGAGGGAGGAGGGAGGAGGCAGCGGAGGAAGAGGAGGAGGAGGAGGAGGAGGAGGAGGAGGAGGATGTGAACGGAAGTGAAGGGGCGAATCCGAGGACCTCCTGCTCCCGCGCACGCCACCCGCTCTCAGGGGTGCGAGCCCCGACCTGGCGCGCCGTGCCCAGCGCTTGCAACGTCTGACCGCCCACGAGCGACTGCGATCGCACTATGAGACATGCGCGCACCTGCTTAACTCCAGCCTGCCGCGATCGCGCCGCTCGCGAGGGCCACCGCCGCTAAGAACGCGCCTGAGACTTGGGCCCGACGAGCGAGCCTGTAGACGCAGCAGCGCGCCTTCAGCAGCGGCAGGGGAGACCTGGCCGCCTCGGCCTCGCGCGCCTGGATGCCGCGCGACGCGCGCTCGCAGCGCCCGCCGAGGCCGAGCGCCGCCACGCCCGAGGCCGCGCCTCCGTTGCGCGCAGCGCGCAGCCAACAGATCGCGAATTTGGCGCCGATGGGATCTCTCGCCCACGCGTTCAGCACGTCTAGAGACCTCTCCCGGCCCGCTTCCACCGCCCGGGGCGCATCTGACCCCGCCCGAACCCCGCCTTCTCGCTGCGCGAGTCAATGACGGGCGGCCTTCAGCGCCAGTTCGGGCAACGCGGGCGCAGCACGCCCCTCGCCAAGCCAGGTGTAGGGACGAACTCGCCACGAGGACAGTCGCGGATCCAGAGCGGGCCCCACCGCTGCATCAGCACCCCCCCCCCGCCGCATCACCTCATAGCGGCAAATGCTGCCCGCCCTCCTCATCCAGCACCTCGAACAGCAAAGGCTAGACTGAAGGGGCCCCGGGACGCACAAATAAACACACACATATCTTCCCATATTTCCTGGGGGATCGACGATTCATTGTGTCTGTGTGTTTCTTTCCCCTCCCAAATAGACATACTGACCAGGTCAAATGGGAGCGAAGCCCGCGCGGCCCCCCCCTCTCCGGGGCGGCCATGCGCGCCCGCGCCCCCCACTCGCCCGGGCCGGCCCGAGCGCCGCGCCGCCTCGGCGAGGGCGCGCGCTCCTCGAGCGCCTCCATCGAGCGCCCAGCCGCCGAAGAACTGCCACTGCGAAGGTGAAGGGGAACTGGGACACACAAATAAATACACACAAATAAACATATCCCCCATATTTTCCCATATTTTCTGGGTTTTTGTCTTCCCGCCCAATTCCCATATTTTCCTATATTTTCCTAAAAATCGACGAATAATTGTGTCTGTGTGTTTTTTCCCCTCCTGAGAAGGACTGGCCCGGGGTCGCCGGCTGCCAAGCTCACGGGCACCCCCGACGAAGGTCGCCTGCCCTTCTCGGCCACGAAGCCATCGACGACCTGCTGCCGACGATTCAGGCGCGAGAGCCTGGGTCAGCCGCGGTCCAATACGCAGGTCTTCTGCAGCGACGCGCGCCTCGCCGCCGACGCCGGAGACGCCGCGCACTTGAACTCTGACAGAAACCCTCGCTTTGCGCGAGCGACCCAACTCCTGCGCCATAGGCGCCGTCTTCAACATGAGACCCGCAGCCCCGCCGCGTCTGCGCTCACATACGTCGCCCAACTGACGCTAGTAGCCCCCAGCATGACGGAGCCAGCTCTCAACAGCATTTTGTTTTGACTTTCCCGAGGCAGAGCGCCCTCCACCCGCGGCAACTCAACATCATCTACCTCGCGGGGCCGAGGAAGCTCAAAGCCGGTGCTTTCGGGGCGCCATGGCCCGAATTGAGGCCGCGCAACTCAAGGAAAACAGGCGCGCGCGTCGGCGCGCACGTCGCTGTGTTTGCACGTCCACAACAAGGCCTGCCAACACCGCGCATCAAATGAAGAGAAGCATAATCCCGCTACCAGAAGTATCCCCTGGAGCGCAAGCCAGCGCACCACGCGCGCTGGGCCCGCGCACAGATCCGAAGGCCCCGCGTCCCAATCGCCGCCGAGGACTCAGGGCCACGGGATAAGGGACGCAAGTTGCATCGACGCACAGCCATGCCACTCTTGATGGCACTAGAAATGGAGACGAGGTTGACTGGCACTGCGAACCACGCGTCGACGGCCGCCACCCGACAACGACAAGCCGGCAGGTCCTTCACCAGCGAATGGGGCGCGCCCGCGGCCAACACCAGCGAAATGGAGGCCACTGCGACGCCCGCCGAGGACCCCCGCACCCCATGACCAGCACGTCCAGCCCTCCCGAGCTCCATTTGACCCCCGACCATGTTGTTCTCCACCCAGCGCTTGGTCGAAGCGAGCTGCTTGTCCGACATCAGCCCACGTTCCTGAAACAAGGAACCAACTTGCCTGCACCTTCCGCCACATGCCGCGAACAATCCAGAGTCTGGGACCGGGCGGGCAAATTGGCTGCGAGAAGATCCAAGTCCCCCCGCTCAGATGATCCTGATCGACGCATTTTTCGACGACCGCTTCGAGCGCCAGTTGTGCCGAGAGGCCCGCCTGTTTCAAATGGGCAACCTTCGCGACCGCGCCCAGTCGCCGCCTCGCTGGACGCGCGGGGGACTACCAGCCCAAAAAACAAAGCTAGGACCAGCCCCTGCCTCCTCCAGCGATTCGACACGCCGCGAGCCCTCGCCCCCCCCCTCGGTCTGACCCTTAACCAACCTGGGGGATCGCAATGGGCTGCGAGCGACGCGCCGCCTCCACTTTCTCAGGAGGACAGGAGGCGGGCCCAGCTGACCGCAGCGATGGCACAGCGCTGGAAGCCGCCCTCTGCGAAGCCGACCGCGGCGATGCAGAACCTCCTGCGCCTCCGACGACCGACGAAAGCCAGCCATCACCCCCAGAGCCTTCATCATCACTGCTGGGAACAGCGCGATTTCTTCGCGGGAAGCTGCACCTCCTGGAACTGCTCGAGCCCCCCACGGCATGCAGGCTCGGTTGGGCCCGCGCCCACGAAGCTCGCGGCTTTGAATCGCCCAGCCAAGATGGGATTATCAGTCGGACTGGCCGACGACGACAGGATCTTCAGCGGCGCCAGCAAAAGAGGGACAGCGCCGGCATGCTGACACTGAGCCCCAGCCCTCTGAACTGCTGCCGCCGCTGCTTGACGCTCCGTTTCTCGCTTGGCCTGCACCTCTATTGCGGCGCGCATTCTGGAGCGCTTCTTGCCGAGCAGGGGGCGGAGAGTTCGCGACTGGCGCCGCCAGCTCGGCCAGGCCCTGCGAAGCCTTGAGTTCGCCCAGCGCCCCTCGCATGAATCCCAGTCACTCGTCCGAGGACGCGCCGTCGACATTGCCCTCGCGCGCCCTGCCAAAAACTGGAAATGCGCTGGCCAGCCCGCTCTTCGTGATTGAAGGGGCCCTGGGACACACAAATGAATACACACAAATGACAGGATTCCCCATATTTTCTGGGTTTTCGTCTTCCCCCCACTTCCCATGTTTTCCCATATTTTCGGGGGAATCGATAATTATTTGTGTCTGTGTGTGTGTTTTTCCCCTCCTGATTCTTGATGACCGCCGCGATCTCCGACAAGTCCACTTTGCGCTGCTTCTCATACTCCAGCTCTCGGCCCAGCTCCGTCTGCTTGGCCCCCAGCGCCTCGCGCGCTGCAAGCGCTCCGAAGCCTTCTCGAGACGTGTCTCCTTCCAGACACTCTGCAAACGCACATCCTGGAGAGAGTTCTTCTCCAGATCCGCGTTGGCAGGGGTGTCCCCTCATCGGCCGGCGCCGCAGTGGGCGTCGCCATGACCGACTGCGCCGGCTCTGCCGACAAGCCGCGCTCAGACGGGTGGGCGGTTGGCGAAAACATCTCGCGCCGACGCTCCCGCGCTGCTCGCAACGGTGACTCCTCCCGACTCGACTCTGCAATTTTGGTGGCCCGCCGTGGCCCCTGACCACCGCTGCCCCAAGGCTTCTCGGGTGTCGAGATGGAAGGCCCCTGGATCTCGTGAGCAGCGATC